TGGAGAGGCGCGGGGCTCCCCAGCAGCAGCACGGGATTCGGCCCCACGCCGCCCACCTGGCCCCTGCCCGCTCCGCGCTGCCCCCCGACCAGACCCACCGCGCTGCCCCGCGGACTGCAGGGCTGGAGCAGCCTTCAGGCTGTGCTCCCGGCCCCGGGTGCAGCAGCCCGGGCAGAAGCCCTCTGGCGCGTGGGGGGGCTCACAGCTGAGCCCCCCTGTCTCCCTCCCTTGCCCGCCCCCCTTTGCCCCCCTCCCTTGCCCGCCCCCCTTTGCCCACCCGGTGCCCGGGTGCTGGAGCTGACTCACCAGCTCCAGGATCCAGGCACCGCCGCCGCCGCCATCCCCTCCCTCCAGGCTTGCACCGCCATGCTGCAAGCCTGGGAGGGAGGAGGAATGCTGGGGAAGAGGCGGGGCCAGAGCGGGGATTTGGGGAGGGAGCCAATGGGGGAAGGAGAGGGCGGAGCCGGGGCGGCGGGGGGGCCCGAGCGCCGGAGCGGAAGGGAAAATTTCTTCTTTGTCCAGTGTCCCGACCAAACATTGGTCGGGACGCGGGACAAAGAAGCAAATATCGGGACAGTCCCGATAAAATCGGGACGTCTGGTCACCCTACTTGCAAGTTATTGTCCTTTCAATGAGTTATGTGGAGGAGGGCGTGTTTTATTCTGTAATATATACATATTGCATTATGTAATAGTTCTCAATAACATGATCTGTACAGGTATGTTCCTTCCAATATCCTTATATGTTCCCCTGTACTAAAACTAAAGTCATGGGATCTAGCATCAGTGTTTGGTGCCATTAATGTGTTCTCTGCTTCTGTTCATAGACATGCTTCCATTGGATCACAATGATTGGAAGTGTTCTGCTTTACTTCACCTTCTCAACTATCTACAATGCTGTCTGCGTTGTTTGTAATGAACCCACAAGCCCCTACTGGCTTATGGAGGATCAGCTGTCAGATCCTAGCTTTTATTTAGTGTGCTTCATTACACCAGTCATAGCACTTTTACCAAGGTTTGAACATTTGATTTTTTTTCCTTCCCAACGTTGGGATTTGAGGGCATTAGGGTAAAATAATAATAATGATGATGATAATGATGCCTTGTATAGATAAAAACTGTATTTTCCTTAGATGGCTCAGAGTCATGTTTGGTCCAACGTGGAGACCTGGCTTCTAGTCTCAGTTCAGCCGTTGGCTCATACAATGATCTAATCTTTGACAAATCACTTGTGCCTCCTTTTGCTCATCTATAAAATGGACATGGTCATGCTTCTGTGAAGTGCTTTGTGATTTTACAAGTGAAAAGCTGCTATGCAAGTGTTCAATATTATGGGTATAGCAATATTCAGTGTACCACTGTTCGATAAAGGGTAGGTTTAAATTTTGAATTGTCCCCAAATGCAGTAAAATCTTGAAAAATATCTACTTCTATCATGTCACTATAATATACTACATTTTTAAATAATTACCATCTTAAAATTTGGCAATGCATTACTGTGGATAATTAATAATAACTTCTTTATATATAAACATCTCCGTACAGCCAAAATCTTAATTTACTATTGTGATGCTTTGGGGGTTCACTCAGACCAAAAAGGGCTTCTCTCACCACCTGCCTTGGAACCCTGATTGCCTCTGTGCTGTGCACCTTTGGCTCAGAGCCCTGACACCAGCAGCATGCTCACAGCACAATGGTCTCACCCTGGTTTCTTACTCACACTAAGTTATCAGCGTTCTCCAACTAGTTTAATAGGAGGACCCATCTTTTGTAGATACAGTGAATTGGCTTCTTTGTTCTCCCAGGAGATGGATGACTCAAATATCTCTTTGTCCCCACATATATTACCCCAAAGTCCATTGTCTCTGTTTCAAGAGCCAGAAAGGCTTCCTGAGGGGTACAGACTTCATCTCTGGTTGTGATCATTAAGTGGTCTTTTCCCCTGCTTGTTGGCTTGATGGCTTTGTTTACCTTATATGTAAATGTACCTCCATTGTCCTCTGCCTGTGATTAAGCTGGTCAGGCAAGGAAAAAACAGGGGGGAAACAGTTTTGCCTCCTATGTCTGTTTACAGACTACAAAACAATATCAGAGGGCATGCATAATTTCACATACAACATTGTTACATACATTTCACGGTGATATTAATGACCAGCATGGTGGTAGTTTTCAAATAACTTATTACAAGACACCTGTTAAATGAATATCATGGCAATGATGTGTTGAGGGCACTGAGTGTGTCAGACCTATTGTGAGTTACAGTATAGTGTGCCCTCTGCCAGCAGGTATGGAGGGGCTCGCAGAGTCACAACTATATGCCAAATAATGGATGTATTGGAAAATATTCAGTGACAATGCAATTGTTTTAACAGGTGACAGGCTAAAAATATATACTTTAATTTCTTTATGTGGGTTATTGTTAACACCCTAGGTTATTAGAACTGAAATAGTTTATAAAAACAAATCTCCTATTCCCAAATTATGCTGCTAATTTATTTTTTGCACTACGTTCAACTTGGACAATGAAATAAGACTAGTTTGTTTCACTTTTTGTTTCTAGTCAGTTTCACTTTTGTGGTTGTCATGACCTGTAAATACTAGTTATGAAAACAGTTCCTTTAATGTTGTATTCTGTAGGACCACTTGTCAAACACATTATAAAATATGGGCCGAAATTATCAGAAAGGTGACCATTTAAGACTAAACTTTTTTTCCCTCAAATAATACCTGTCCAATGAGTACTATTTTTCCATGTGGTTTTAGATTTACTTCTGTTTATATGCTGTGCTATATAAGGTAAAGATGAAGTGCCTCATATTTCAATGCAGGCCCACATCTTTGGGGTACAGCATCTTTTACTGTCTGTTTTGTTCTTGGTTGGGTTCCTATCAGCCCATATTCACTGTTGTCATTTTTGACCCTGAGCTTGCTACGAAGAGCTAGATCAAACACATAGTTAGGAATTCATGTCTCTATCTTGGGGATTCAGCAAGGTTGAGATCATTGCTGCCTCAGCAGGATACTGAGCTTAAGGATTTGTGTCTTGATAACTTCAGGGGTGGAGCACTGCTGTTCCCTCTTGCAGGCACCCCAGAATATTGTCTTTAGGAGTCTCTGTTCACACAAAATCCAGCTTGAAGTCCTCCCCCCCCCCAGAACTCCGTTATATCGAAAACACTCCTTCCTGTGATGTACAGCCTCACACTCAAATTAAGTTTTCTGTGACGTTCTTCCTCTTGGCATGCTGATTGATCCTTAGTTCCCCTGTTTCCCACCTGGAGTTTACAACTTTGAGACTCCTGACTAACTCTAGGAGGTAGGATTAAAATCCTAGAGCCTCAGTTCCTCCTCGTGGCCACAACTTCTTGTATTTATTGATTCTATAGGTTGGAGTTGCTAAGACATTTAGTGTTCAGTGAAGGACATACCCATTTGCCCTTGCTTGTGTGCAGAGTTTTTGTAGTAGCTCTCCGTGGTAGTTCTACCCATGCACATGACCAAAAAAATTTGACTATGCTTTCCTGTTAAGTATAGAATATGAATCTCGCTGCTTGTGAGCTCTCAGTTTCATGCACCTTTGCTCAACTTTCAGGCACTGCCAGGGAGCTGAAGAGTGGGTGCAGTGGAGGCAGTATAAAAGCAAGGAGTCTCTTAATTGGTTTAGGATCAGGGCCGGTGAGGGGGAGGTGGAGGGGGAAGGGAGCGGTGGGGGTAAGAGAGAGAGAAGGAGGGCGGCCAGGGCTTCAGCGGGGCGCTGCCACGCGGCCCTGACTACTGCGCCGCCTGCCGGGAGGCTCCGCACTGCTCCAGTCGGCTGGGAGGGAAGGACGCCAGGCTTGCTGCAGGGCGCTCTCATCCTCCGCACTGCTGCCCCCTACAGGGCGGCCGGAGCGGAACAAACAAACAAACAAAAAAAAGCAGCCGTGTCGCCCTAGGATTGGGCGGAATGCCGCCTCGAACAATCTGCCGCCCCAAGCACCAGCTTGCTTGGCTGGTGCCTGGAGCCGGCCCTGTTTAGGATATATATTGGCCAGCCGTGTGGACAAAGGCCAAATCATGCTCCAAGCCCTTCTCAGAAACCGTCCTTACGGTGAGCCTTTGGTTTTCAAATATGGCCTGGTAGTGTAGAGACAGGCATCATCTCTCTAGGGAGGCCAGCTGTTTTGCTGGTTCCTGAGCCACCCACAAGCTGGGATTGTTTTTACTTCCAAGCCTCAGATGATATGTTAAACTAAGATCCTTTCTGCCCACCCTCTTTCTGAATACAGGAGACTATAACCCCAGGGTCCTGACTGATAGTGCTTCTCTCAGTGAAACCAGAGCTGTGTCTGACCTTCCTTGCCCTATGCAGTGACTGCACAACCTGTATTATCGTAATTTATATAGCATCATAAGTGTAAATGACTCCGTACAATAGGAGGACTGTGTGTATTTAAGTGCCTCCATTAGAAACATTACACCCCTCTGCCAGAAACCTGCAGAACAGTGGAAGCTGAAGGAACAGAATTAGATTTTTTTTTCATGTTGTGGTAAATTACTGGTGAAGCCCGTTATTAATGCAGTACTCTTCTTCACCTTTCTCCAGGTATCTTATGTTGGCCGTGCGAGGAACCTTCAGAGCATCTCCGATTCTGAAAGCTCAGCAGCTGGATAAGCTCCCTAAAGAGCAACGAGAGCTGGAAATCCAGAGGTGGAGGTCAGGAAAACAAGCCACCCCAAGCACACCTATGGCATCACCCAGCGATGAGGTTGACCGAACCAACAGCAATTTACATGTGTCACAGTTTCTGGGCCAAGCAGCAGTTACACCCCATGGAAATAACGATACCCAGGGACTCTCCACTCCTGAAATGAATCACCTAAGGGACTGGATACTAAATGGAGAAGGTAATTCTTCCACCAGGAGGTGGGCAGGGGAAGAAACTACTGCTGCCAACTCCTTAGCAAGACCCTGCCCTGGGCGAGATCTACTTGAGCCCACTAGGATAGCATCTCCTGGGCCATTCGCTAGCCATCTGACAAGTGATAACGCTGAAGAACTTACCCCTGGAAGCCATCGGAGGTCTGTGAGCGCAGTGACACTGTAAAAGATTTGGGGGGAGGGTGTTTGAACTTGTCATGTGACCACTTTTCTGGACATATTGTGCTGCTGCTGTGCGGCCCACGTGGAGAGGGAGTACAGAAAGGGGAGATAATGTTTCTATTTATATTCAACTGTGAAGCTTTCTAGATAGACAGACACATGGATTTACAAACCTGCTGGAACAGTGTAATATAATCACTAGTACTTACATAGCCCATGTTCATTTATCTTTTGGGGGAGTGGGAGTCACTAGCTGGTTGGTTTTGATTAACTAGGGCAATATGACATGAGCATCAATTAGTCACTGTGAAATGCACAATATGGATGAAAACCAAGGAGGTTGCTCACCAAGGAACATTTTCCCTTCACAATAATGGTGGTTGAATACCTGTGTGTTGATTAAATGGTAACTACAGTGAGAGGGAACCGTCTTCTAGGCCTTGCTTTAAAGCGGCAAATCCCATTCCAGCTCCTTTCAAACTTTGTTGCTTTTTCAAGGGGCACCAGCAACTTAAAAATCACACTTCTATCTGACAATGTGTAATCTCCTACGGTTACAAGTGATACCTAAGGTGACTGTAACAGAAAGAAATTAGAAAAAATGGTATATTTTTCAGTTTGTATGCTTTATGCATGTAACAATACTGTGTATAGTCAGTTTCACTGTTTCCCTTCTATAGTCAGTTTCACCCTTTTTGTCTGTGTTGATCTTCAACACAGCAGTAGAGGGCAGTGAAGAAAAGATTTTAATAAACAGAAAAATGTTCATATAAAATCACACACACAAAAACTTGCAGGAGAACTTCGGGGAAGGTGTAGGACTTGTACTTTTTAAAACTACCTAATTTAAACCAAAAAGTGAAATAGAAATATATTAACCCTGGCCGAATTTCAATTCAAGTAAACGTTCAACCTAACTAGAATTCTCCTAGCTTTTTCATTTGCCTTATACTATTATGAAGTGTTGCTGTGTTCTGTCAGACACATATCATGTTCTACCCCAGAGCTGGATGCATTCAATAATAGATGTGGACATCCCTACATGTTTATCAATATTGTTGGGATCATTTTGTGATGAAAGTTGCTGAAGAGATGGAAAATATTTTACAACATATGCAGGCTGCTAATCACATTATAGTTGCAGTAGCAAATGGTGACTAAAATGAAGTGTGTCTTCAAGACTTTTAAAAAATACATCTCTAGATCTTTTTCAATACCTCAAAGTAATAAGAAATAAGAATAATCATAAATGACTCCAACATTACTAGCTGTTGCAATGCAGTGAATGATGTCTCTATTGTTTCTCATAGAAATACTGACTTATTAGCACTATGTCAGGTTGCAAGATGTCACAGGAAAATCTTCACAACGTGGGGCTTAAACTGAACCCAATCATGCACTAAACCTATCTTGCCTGGCACTTGTGACTCAACCACTGACTCTCTATTTTAGAAATATTTTTAGCCTATATATATGTATTTTTTTAGCTAATTTATTATGACATATCACAATGTGTGATCCCTTTTTAATAACCCATTTAGCAAACACTCATTTGGCTTTCAGTGTATTCTGAGGACTACTGTAATTAATATCTTCAAGTTGTGGTTACTTTAAAACAAGTCAGGCAGGACTGAATATCATACCTAGCACTTAGATTTGTACTAAAACTGTAGTTCATTTATAACTGTAACCAATACAGTATTGTCTGCTCTGATGGAAGTAGAAGGCCATTTAGAAAGAGATTTTTTTGTGTTTGATGTATGAATGAAGGGAATTAGGTATAGATGAGGTTATTGTTAATGGGATGTGAGATTGCTCAGTGGCCTGCTTACTGGGTAAGAATGAATCCTTCGGTGACTATATTTGATATCAAATCTTTTCTACTGGTTTTATGTGATCTAGTCCATTTTCTCTGAACTCGGGGAAATGAGGTGCCATTCACCAGCTTTTTCTCATGTATTTTATGATGACAAAATGTGGAATATTTCCACTGTAATAAAATTAATACATTTATGACTCAGAGTGTTATTCATGATGAGCCTTACCTGACAGGGGGAGAAAAGTAATAATACCAAACTCTTTTATATAGCACTTTTAATCGGCAGATCTCAAAGTGTTTTAGATAGGAGGTTGGCATCATTATCCCCATTTTATAGATGGGGAAACTGAGGAACGGAGAGGAAGTGACTTGCCCAAAGTCACCGAGCAGCCAGTGACCAAGACGAGGTCTACTGAGTCCTAGTCTAGTGCTTATCGACCAGGTCACACTGGCAACTTGTTAAGGGCAAAATAATGGATATCTTGTAGATCTGTGTGGGTGTATGGAGAGGGTGCAGGGGGCAGCCAAGACCAGTTTAAGCAAACCTGGGGACCGCTGTGGAGTCTCTTAATTGAGTCCCCTGTCTAAAAGCCTCAAGAATCAGTGTGTGATTTTTCTTCTCACCACACCACCTGAAAAATTGTTGTACCATACAGGTTGCCCTCCCAGCTGGGAAGCCAAGAGAATTAGGAGGGAATGTGTCCAGAACTGGTTCGAGGGTGCAGTGCAGGGAATAGCAGTTCTCTGTTAAAAAGGAAGAGGGAGGTTTCCCTGCCATGTGCTCACCTGTCTGAATGTATCCAGAGGTTCCATGATGCTTAGGGCCACGTATTATACAGAGTGAGAGAGACACTCTGCCTGCCCAACAAACTTAAAAACAGAAGTATTTACTCCTAGACGAATGAGTAGACATTTGTAAGTGTGCTTTTTAATCTGCTTGTCAACAAGCTACCTGCTAGCGCCATCAAGTGGTAGATGATTACAATAAATGGCCCAATTTATTCCTCTATCTGTGGAATGGACTGTGGTCTTCAGTACCAGAAAGCTCTGCAGCACCAGAACAGTGTAAACAACCCACCCATTTGGGGGTGGAGGCAGAGTGAACTGATGTAGCCCACAAAATGCAAAGCACCAGGCAAGAGCAGGCCTCAGAAGCCTAGCAGGATACTAACTGGAGAGTAAAGCAGTCCTTTGGCAGCTCTCCACTTGGGGCGAGAATGGTGGCAACACTGTTACCTATCCTGCCTTAGGCTCAGAGCCGAATCAAGCCCAAAGTGGATTTATTTCCCATGGGGCTGTTTTGTTTGCTTGACAGAGGTTGCTTATTTTCATGAATCTAAATGCACCGTGGCTTATTTAAATGAGTCCTTTTCAGGACACACTCCATTGGTTATAGTGTGAACGGTCAAAAAGCAGAGTGGGTCTCTAGCATTTTCATTTGCCTGCTGCTGGTAGCAACTTCATTGTTTCATTTAGTTGGACCACAAAATATTAAAAATGAATGAGTCTCATTAAAATTGCCACATAATCTTCTTTTGGTCTGTGACACTTTATCATAATAAAGTAATTGCACAAGCAACAATGCTTGAAGCCACATAGAGGAGGCACTGTTACGTATGAGACAAACTGAAGGTGACTTCTCTCATGTAAGTGACCAGCTCTCTCTCATATAAGTGAGCTCTCTCTCATATAAGTGAGCAGGTGTTCACTTACACTAGGCTATCCACAAAGTAATGCAAGCTACCCCCGAGCTGCTTGCAATGATCAGAGAAGAGCCAACCATCCTGTTAGAGGAGGGAACGTTTTAAGTGCATGGGGATGGAGTTGTGCACACACCCTGTTATACTTTAAATGAATTTGTGCTTGTACCTCTTAGTGCAACACTTTGGAAATGTGCCCTTTGGCCTACTAGATATTGGCTGTAATTGTTCAGATTAAAAGCCCAAAAGAAGAAGAGGTGGGGGGAGGACACAGTTTGCTCTTTTGTTCAGCACAACACTGACAGTAATATTCTATACAGAGAGGTGGGTGTAACACCGCAGCAAAGAATGTCTGTTTTGCCTAAAGGATAGATTGCCATATATTTTGCAACTTGTGTACTACATCTGTAATGTTTAATTCATTTGTTTGATTGCAGTACCAGGCACTGTAGAAGTACGAAGCTGTTTGCTTTGGAGGGTGGAGGGAAGATGACTGAAGACAGGATGCAGTGTGAATTAGATACTTGCAAACAGTGCTGATGACTAAAAATATAAATGCTAAGAGAAGATAAGAGACTCTTGAAGATAATGATCCCAGAGGGTGGGAGATAGAGGGCTGACCAAATAACACGATCTATAAAGTACTTTTGACGTTGCTGGTGATTGGAACTCACAGCAATTATCAGTACATGAGCCAAATGTGAATAGGACTTGCCATCTAACTATTATAATCTAACACCTGATTATTCTCAGTTACGTAGACAAGCCAGGGATGGAAAACAGAGGTTGAATTTATTATGCTTTCAAAAGGAAAATGACTTGGAGCTGATTCTCTGTTGCCTTAAAGCCCCAGAAACTACCTCCTGTATAAGGCAGCTCCCTCCACCCAGCACAGAGCTGTTAGAGCAGCCTTTTTCACTCCACTCCAAACTCCTGCATTGGGGGGCGAATGGGAGGGAGGTGCCAGGGTACTGTAAGGTGGGAGTGTGGCCCATAGCACAATGCTCTAAGGCCCACAGGTTGCTTGGGCTGCACTCACCCCCAAATATGGGAGGCACGTGGCTGAGCACGGGGATGGTCTAACTGAGAATTAGGGCCTAAATGCATCTCTTGATATCAACAATGGCCCCTTCACTGGACACCATCTAATGTGTTTTAATCTCATAGTGTTACAAAGAAGAATCCACCTTCTACACTTGCCAGCCTAATTCACACCCCTCCTATACATCCTTCTATGCTTCCATTCCCATTTTCCATTGACGCACATAAAAGGAAAAGAATCAAAATGAATTAAAGAGCATTGAAACTGAAACTGTTTATATAAAACAATAAAAACCTAGAAAAGTCCCTTTTTGGAGACAGTGAATATTGGTTACAGCAACGATCGGCCACCTTTGGCACACGGCTCGTCAGGGTAAGCACCCTTGGCAGGCTGGGCTGGTTTGTTTATCTGCCGCGTCCGCAGGTTCAGCCGATCGCAGCCCCCATTG